GGGCTGGAGCTCTCTTTCCCAGAACGAAGCCTCACTCTTCAGGCGGTGTCACGGGGAGAAACTTGGGCCATGTTAGAAAGAGGGAGGGATATTCTTTTCACCCTCTGAGTTTTGCGTGCAAGAGTTTAAGAAGATATTTATCTTCCCAGAAAGATAGAAAGTCCAGTAAACCCTTTAGGAGCCTACTGGCAAACTGAATACCCTGGGGTTTGTAGCCTCTGCGATCCCTGCCAATGGGAGTCTAAGTTGGGCAATTTTCAGGGTTAAGAAAAAAACGTCATTTGTTGCAGTAAATATCACATGCATCCTTCTCTAAACTCCATTTATTTATTTATTCCCCTGTTTATCAGTCTTCCCCTCCCTTTGTCTTATTGGCTGGCGTAGGTCCCTGATTTTTGTGTGTTATGAGTCACTCTTGTGCATCAGCCAAGTGTTAAATATTTTCCTCGGGGAGCTTTTAAAATTTTTTTTTCTCACTGCCTCTCCACGTAATTTACCCTCTCATGTTAGAACCGGTTTCATTGCATGCATATTCTTCCTTCACTGTACTTATCAAAACTGAAGCTACATAATTTTGTAATTAATCTAGGGCCAGGATGTGGGTCTTACCACTAGACTGACATCCTGGAGGGCAGAGTAATTCCTTGTCCTGCCTGGCACATAGTACATTCTCCTAAGTATTTCTTAGGTAAATGCACCGCTACTCCCGGTCCCTGGAATGTGGCATAAAGAGATCCAGGCCTTTTAGAATCTGATTCAGCCAGAGTTTTGCATCCGGATTTTAAGTGAATAGTAGTAACGATGATCATAATCAAGGTACCACTGAAAAACTAATGTTACAGTTCAGACCTCATCCTCTCCATGCCTTCACAGGTGCTGCTGCTGCTACCTGGAATTCTCTTCCTAGCTCACGGCTGCCTGAAAACTCCTGCCTGCTTTTCTTTTCTCTCTCTCTCTCTCTTGAAAAATTGTGGTAAAATACATGTAACAAAATTTTTCCTAATTAAAGTATACAGTTCAGTGGCATTAGGTCATTCACAGTGTTGTGAAACCATTCCATCATCTCCAGCACTCTTTCTGTCTTGCAAAACTGGAACTTCGTGTGCATTTAACAAACATTAAAAACCCTGGTTCTTTCTTTTTCCAATCCCAAAAAACCACAATTTTTTTTGTCTCTATGAATTTGACTGTGAATCATACAATATTTTTCCCTTTGTCACTGACGTATGTCACCTAGCATAACATTTTAAGGGTCACCTGTGTTGTAATATTCCATTGTTTTCATACCCTGTTTTGTTTATCCATCCCTCTCCTGATGGACACTTGGGTGCTTCTTCTTTGCTTTTGTGAAAAATCCTGCTACGAACATGGTACATATACAAATATCTGTTAAAACAAAAAAAGACTGTTTTGTAAAAGATGTTTGCCAAGAGTTATTTTTTCCTCTAATACACTTCCTATAAATAAAAAAGTAAAAGCTCAAACTAGTATAACATAATATTGAATGTCACCTATAACTGAAAAAAAAAAAAGTAAAAGTTCAACAACCCAGGTAAATGGTCAAAAGATATGAATAGGTAAAAGATGGTGATTAACTCCAGTTAATGCAAATAAAATCCATAGTTGAGATTTCATTTTCCAGCAGTCATATTTTCAAATGGGTTTTGATAGCAATCTTTTTTTTCAGATTCAACTTTTTTATTTTTTAAATTTTTATTGTGAAATAAACATTTTTTTACATTTGTTTCAGCTGTACAACACAATGCAATAGTTAACATTTTTTACCCCTCAAAGTGACAATCCCCTTCCCCAATCCACACCTCTCACCCCACCAGATAGCAGTCTTTAAAGGAATGAGAGAACAGGTACTCATTAGTTGAGTAAATTGGCATAATCTTTAAGGAGAGCAATCTAGTTTTTAAACTTAAACATGCACATACAATGACTAAGCAATTCCAATGCAATCAAAAGAATAGTTTGCAACTGTGACAATTATATGTGCAACATGCGACAATTACATGAAGTTCTGGTTTTAATGTTTATTAGAACATAGTCATGCTCATTTACTGACCGATTGTCCCTGACTGTTTGCACTACAATTGCAGAGTGTTTCTCACAGACACTATATGGCCCACAAGCCTAAAATATTTAGCCCTCTTCAGAAAATTTCCCTGACTCCTGCTATAGAACAGCACTGTATAATAAAAATTTCTGTAATGACAGAAATATTCTCCAAACTGCCCAATGGCTAATTGTAGATAGTAAGATTGAGAAAGCAAGTGTAGCTTATGGCGATGGGACAGCAGACAGCGTAGCTCTAGAAAACGTGTTCATTTTAAATGACACATATACTTTTATGTCTATGGTGCAATAGGTACATGAATTTCTTTTAGGCTTTGAATAGCAGAAAATAGGAAAATACCAAAATGTCCATTGGAAGCACATTGGTTAAATAAATTTTGCACCATCCATGAAATGGAATACTAGACAGCCTAATTGGAAGCTATCCAAGAAAGTAAGTAAAATAAAAACAAATGTATAACCTTTTTTTTTAAGTAACACTTTGTTTAGTGTATCACTACATAACTAACCACCTTAAAACTGAGTAGTTCAAACAAGTATTAGAATGCTGTGGTTGATTGGACTCAGCTGGGGCTTGTGTTCCAGCTGGCCTGGCTGGGGCTGCAGCCATCTGGGGCCTTCACTGTCTCTGGCAGTTGGTGCTGGCTGTCACCTGGGAGCTCAGCTGGGGCTGTTGATTGAAGCACCTAGATTCTTTTAATGTGGCCTTTTCATATTGGCATTGTCACAGCCTGGCAACTGGGTTCCAAGTGGAGGAAGGTAGATCTTAAAAGTCACTTCTACATTCTGTTGGTCAAAGCCAGTTACAGGCCCCTTCCGGATGCATGTAGGTGGGAAATTGACTCCACTATTCTATGAGAAGAGTGGACAAGAATTGTGGCCATCTTTAATTGACTACACACACACACACACACACACACACACACACACAATGTTATATATATATATATATATATATATATATATATATATATATTTATAGAAAATCCTTAGAGTACACAAGAAATGGTTGACACTGGTTCCTTTTATGTAAGGGAATAGAGGTTGAGGAAAACTTCTCTCTTTGCTTGTGTTCTTTGAATTTTATTATATGTAGTACTATTGAAAAACTTGTTTTTAAGCCTCCTTTACCCTATGCCACTGCCAAAAGAGCCACTGGTTAACAGTTTTCTGTTTTTAAATAGCCTACAGGTATAGAAATAACCTGGCTCCAGGGTTTTAAATCTGCTAAAAAATAAATGGTGGACTGCCAAGAGATTCTGAGATCACAGCTCTGCTCAAGGCAGTACCGTAAAATGCTCAAAATCTCTGGGTTTGGGTTTAGAACTGGGTTCAGATCCTGGCTTTGTCACTATTTAGCTGCATGACCTTAGACAAGCTTCTTAATCTCTTGTATAAAATGGTAATAATGGCACTTTACCCTCAAAATTATGATAATTACAATGCATTATCAGCCGCTTGGTGATTGTGTGGTGTCAAAATATATGTCCTCAATCAATATGTCTTCTCTGCTCAAAACTGCAAAAGGTCTCCATTATCAGTTCAAATCCAGACTCTATCTTGGTGTTCAGTCTTATGTAATAAGCCTGTACCACACTTGTCACTTAGATCTTCCCGGGGCTCAGCAGACATCCTTGCTTTGTAGCCTCACTCTTTACCATCCCTGAAGCACAGCACATCCACTCCCAAGTAACGAAATGTGAATAGAGCACTTGATGCATCTCTGCCCACAGCGAGGCTCACCGTGTGGCTGGACTCCGTATCCAGTCCCCTTCTCAGACCAGGATCCTCAGTCTCAGCCTCATGATTTGTCTTAACCATCCTTGTATCCTCACCTTTGTACAGTGTCTTTCATCAAATGGGCATTTGATGACTGAAATCTTGTATTAACTTTGGTTTCCAGTGTGTCTTTTTGCTGGTGAGCCACTAAGCAGATCCTCAATAAATACTCAGTTGAAAAACATATATATTTGTTCAGGTCCCTGTTTTCAGTTCTTCTGGGTATATACCCAGAAATGGACTTCCTTGACCATATGGTAATTCTGTTTAATTTTTTGAGTAGCCACCATGATAGCTTTCCACAGTGGCTACGCCATTTTACGTTCCCATCAGCAATGACAAAGGTTCCAGTTGCTCCACATCCCCACCATCATTTGTTATTTTCTGTTTTTTCATACCTACTTGAATGTCACCTCTTTGAGAAAGTGTTCCCTGACATAGTTCTCTACCCCCCAGACAGAGGTGAGCTATCCTTTTCTCTGTGGTTCCACTGTTTCATTTTAACCTCCATCCCATCCCCTACCAGTCATTTGACTTCTTGTCAGTTCCTGTTGTAGATTTGTGCTCCGCATCCACCCACTTCTCTCCATTTTCACTATTAGCATCCTTATCCAAGCTACCATCATTTCTCATGTGATACTTCAGAGGCCTCTTAAGTAGCTCACTTGCTTCTGCTGCAATCTTTTATTCACACAGCAGCCAAAGGGGTCTCTTAAAAAATCATGAATTGGGCCAGCGTAGTGGCACATTGGTTAGGAGTTGGCTTGGGACGCCAGCTCTGAGCAGCAGGGCCTCAGTTCGGTTCCCACATGAGGGCCAATGATGCTGCGCCATCT